CACTTTATTACCCTAACATATTAAGTTTCCTGTTCAGGTGTGGGGGCAAAGTAAAAAGAAAAGTTTGTATTCCCATGGACTAATTAGGGATGGATATCGAAACCCGGTTCTTGTTGAGAACCGGTTCCCACTGTTTCAATTCCTTGGAATCGTTTGCCATTTTTGCAAAGGATTCCCTTATCGATTCCAGTCGCCCCGAATGACGTCACCACGTTGTGGCGCTTCATTTACCTGGCAGGAAACACGGCGCCTAAGCGGCTCAAACGCTCAAAAGTTTGGTTATACTTTACGAGAACGAATGACAACAGGGCAACTTGCAATACTTGCAAAGTAGATATTTCATTTAAGGGAGGAAACACTACGAATATGCAAAAGCATTTGCTCACAAAACACGCGATGACCTTAAATGAATGTCGTGTTTTTAATTCCGCTCCGGACTCGTGAATCTCAACCGAGCAGCAGCGGTAACGTTTGCACGTCCTCTCGTGTTAATGCGGCAGGTAAATAATCAACTAACAGTGCATATTATGTTAGCGCGATCTGCCTTCTTACAAACCCTGCCATTACTGTGCATTTAGGTGACCATGATGAGACAGACAGAGTCCGGCTGGCTCAGATGCTGGCAGTTCTCGCTGCAGTCTACCTGGTAGCGTCTCCTTTCAGGCCAGGATAGACGAATGTCACCGAGCAGTGACTAAGTTTGTGGTCAAAGGTTTGCACCCATTTGCTACAGCAGATGCTCCCGATTTCACTTTGGTAAGTGAATGTGTTTAATTGTAGGCAGGGACATTACTGTATATTCTTGTGTAATTGCTACAGAATAATTTATGTTACACTTTGTTATTGCTACAGGAGAATATTTATTTTATTATTTTACATTTACATTTTTTTTCCTGGGGACCCTGTGACACCCCATTGAAGAGCCGTAGGCTGGATCTCTTAAGATCTCACTGTTGGGTTTGTAAGGCCATGTTACTCCTAAATTTCTATCTTGTTCAAAGAGAAGATATAAAACAAAGTTCTAAGCTAATCGACTTTAGTGTTCTCCTTTTTTAAAAATAAGAATCGATAAGAGAATCGATAAAGAATCGAATCGTTAAACAGAATCGAAAATGGAATCGGAATCATTAAAATCTTATCAATACCCATCCCTAAGACTAATACAGCATTAGGTTTATTTAGCTGTAGTTTTACTTTTACTGGAGTCTTTTTTCACGCAAGTATCTGTGCTTCATCTTAAGTAAATAATTTCTGTACTTTTGGTACCCCTATCTTTAGGATTTGACAAAATAACTGTATCTAATATTCAATTCCTTTTCATGTAACATGAGTACACTTTCTGTTTCCGAATATTAGCTCTATTGCTACCCTGTCCAATATTCTCCTGCCCTTCTGATTTGTGGTGAAGTGCTACTATACTAGTATTAGTAATTGTAGTCAGAAGAGATTTGTATATTTCTTGTGAGCATTAGCTTACTTTGTCTCACTCTTGTCAATATATAAATTCCTGCGCTCTCTCATAGTACAAGGGGTGGCTGTAGAGCAGGTCATCTACTGATCAGAAGGTTGGTGGTTCAATTCCTGGCTTCTCCTAGTCTGCATGCCAAATATCCTTGGGCAAGATACTAACCCCAAATTGCTCCCCGATGCATCCGTCGGAGTATGAATGTGTGTGTGAATGTCAGTTAGAAAGCACTTAGAAAATGTGCTGGTGTGAATGGGTGAAAGCACAAGTTGTGTAAAGTGCTTTGAGTGTTCAGAAGAGTAGAAAAGCACTATATAGAAACTAGTCCATTTACCATATTCCAGGAGCCTGCGTTTCATTTCAGCTGTGTTGTTGTGTATTGTAGACTATACTATTTTTACTGTTTATCATGCTACTGTAACAGAAAAATGTCCCTTGTTGGATCAGTAAAATATTTATTTAATGTGGATAGCATTCATTTGAATAACACTGACTACAATGAAAATTTAGCTGTAACCACAAAAAAGAAAGTTATTTTACTGCTTTTATAGGAGCTCAAACCCAACCCAAGGACGTACCAGGCTTAGAGCTGCACTGTGGTTTTAGTGTTTTTCAGAGTGTTCAGTGGTTAGGAATTTTTTTTCTGTTTATTGAGCTTCATTTATGCAAGTAATGTACTTAGGTCAAAGGTGAAGGGCACAGAAATATTTTATAGATGCATTAACATTTTGTTATATAAAATACAAAAACAATTGCATCCATAAGTATTTGACCTGATTTTGCCTCTTATTAAAACGTGCTGAAGTTTAATTACATTTTTTGTTTAATTCAGGTTCTTTTTTTTTCTACTTTTGAAGAGGTTTTATGTAGTGTGCTATTGTCTGCTTCATCTCTAGTTCACTGAAGCATATTATTGCCACCTTAGTATTTTCTTTATTGGCTTTGTTTTTCCTTTGTTTCTTCTCTATTTGTTCTTCCTTTCTTCCGTCTTTAATTGTTTCTCATCTTTTGTTTATTTTTTAGTCTTAAGTTTCCAGTGAGGAAACGTGAAACTGGAAACCTTACTATGTTTTTGCTCTATTGTCATTCCATTTCTTATATTATCTTTTTAGCCTTTTCTTTTTTAATTTATTTAATTTTTTTCTGCTTCCCAATCTAATGCCTTTGCCTAAATGCATTTTCATTTTGTGTTAGTTTTGGTATTAAGTATAATAGCAAATAGTATACAGTAGATTTAAAAAGTATATTTGTATAATTGTAAGTAATACGTTCATGATTTAAGAAAGGAGCAAAGAATGGAGGGATCAGTAACTTGTTCTCCTTCTTTCATTTTCTGCTCTAGAAAGAAAGAACGGACAACAAAGAAGGGTTATACATACACGTACATGCACACACATGCTCTGCCCCAACCTCTGTTGCTAGGTTACTGCTGCGTCTTAATATTCAGCCATTTCACACAGTTGCATCACCCTCTGTGAGTGCTGGAGGTGGAGTCTCATGATGTTCCACCGTGGAAGGAAATGACTCTTGTTTATGAGTGACATCATGTCCTCTATCCACATTAGAGGACATCTTCTCTACACACACACACACACACACACACACACACACACACAGAGAGAGACATTGGTCACATTGTGTTTTCAGAGGCAGTATGCTTTAAAATTAGAACCGCAAATGAAAAGGAGTTATGAAAAATGTGTCCAAACTAAATCTACATCCCAGAATTTAAATCGGACTGACAGATATGAGTTTCTTGAAATATGAAGAATTACCTGTGTAGCCAAAATGGATTGATTATGTCATTATTTGAAATAACTACAGTACTAGATAAAGCAATTATTAATATTTGGTAGATATTTAAAGCATTGTGATCCATAGTGCACAGTGTGTTGAAGCTAGAGTATAGTGCAGCATTTTATAAAGAGCAGTGACTGGTGGCTTTTGTCACAGCTAATCTTTTCCTCCCCTCTGTGTTTTTTTCCTCCCACTTTCATCTACACACATGAGGGCTTTGTCTTTTTGTTTTATTTGGAAACGCAGTTGGTAACAACATTAATATCCCAAAAGTTGTTTCTGTTCATCTGGACGTAGCGTTTTCAGTGGGAGAAACATTTTGTCACTCATCCAAGTAACTGCAGGTTTCCAAAATTATAAACAGTACATTTGCATAATGACTGAAACCAGCCCACTGAATGATTCATGGTCTGGTAGGTCAGTTCTTGATCATTATTATGCAAATTGGCATGACCATTGATCAACAACAACTGATCAATGGCCATGAGTACCATTCGCAGAGAGTTGGGGAATGGGTGCAAACACAGCATTGTAAGATAGTGAACAATACAGCATTAATATTTTATGTCTTACTCTGATTTAGAACTTCCCTGCCTGCAAGGAATGCACTATTATCTCTGTTGCACTGAACTGCATGCCATTTTTTCAGTTATTGTGTGTGAATGTGTGTATGAATGGGTGGATGACTGGATATGCAAAGCGCTTTGGGGTCCTTAGGGACTAATAAAGCGCTATATAAATACAGGCCATTTACCATTTATTATCTGCATGTCATCTCTATTCTTCATCCTGGTTTAGTTCAAAAAGTTTCACTTTCACCTCAAGAGAACATGTAAGGATTCTGGCATGCTACTTAGCAAAGCTAATCAGAAACTATACCCAGGATAATACTGAGCTATTAGCACTTTGGACTAGTTTGCATTCTAATTTTATTATTAAACAAAACCACACTCTGGGAATATGATGGCACCACTCACCCACGAGCGTTTCAGAATAAAAAAGAAAAAAAACCCTTTATTTTATTTTATTTTATAATTTTTATAAAGCCAGCTACCAATACTAATGCGCTTTTATTATTAAATATATTATTACATTTATAGAAAAATAATAAGTGTCAAAATTACTGCCTGCAGGATAGTAGTTTGTGTCACAATCTGGTTGTAGGAACTCAGGTGTTAGATGTCTCCAAAAAAGTTTATTTACAGCACCAGTGCACAGTATATCCAGTGAAGGGAATCCAAAACTCCAGGGAATCACAGAGTAGCTCTCTCACACTCACACACGTTCACACGGCAGGGAGGTCACAGGTCCGGGGAGGAAGGTCTGAAAGCAGGAGAGAAGGAAAGAGAAGAAACTAATCACGAATCTCAAATTACTAAGCACAAGTTCACAGGAGCTGCGAGAAACACTAACATCAGTAGTACAATCATCCAGTGACAAGAGGAATTGTGTTCCAGCCTCAAATAGTGCTCCCGGTGATGACAGGTGATTGTTGTCAGGTGTGTGGGTCAAGGGCGGGAGCCCACAGTGAGCTCCGCCCAGGCAGAGAGGGAGAGAGAGAGAGAGAACCAAAACAGCACATGTAGCTTTGTGGGGCCGGCCGGGCAGGCACGGAGACCATGACAGTTTGAGACTGAGTTGAATGTGTTGCATCTCTTTGTTTCACTCTGCAGGTGTGGAAGGAAGAGGAGAAAAGTGAAAAAGGCAATTTAAAGCGTTTATTTGATTTTGCATTCAGGTGGAGCATGTCGGGACCAGGACATACTATTTCAGCACAGACAGCTATGCAGAACAGGAAGAGTGGATCAGAGCCCTGAGTGATGCTGCTGAGGTCACTAGTCAACCAAGAAACAGGTTTACACACACACATGCATGGAGCTATAAAGAGATTGAAAATGTGACATCATTTTGGGGTAAAACCGCAAAGGCAAGCGGTACTAGCGCACGCAGGCTTTCACGTGAAAACAGTTACACAGCCATAAAAAGAAACACAAAGAATGGCAAGAAGCTGTTGTAGTATAAACTGCAATATCCGGTCGCATAACACTCATGGGAAGCGTCGTGGAAGAGAAATTGTTTAAGCCATGTTTCTGAAGTAACAAAGAGCCGACGGATGGCCTGGATTGCAGCCATTCGAAGACCAACTATACAATACAATACAATACAATTTTATTTATATAGCACATTTAAAAACCCGAAGGCACACCAAAGTGCTTCACAGTAATATGAAGAGTCAACTATAACGTCCCAGAACACTCCAGCTCACATGTTAGTCTGCTCCAAGCATTTCCACAAAGGTAAGTCTTCTGTTGTAGTTATTACGTAATTTATCATAACATAATTATTGATGTAGGTTACAATCAAGTCTTATATTGATTTGAATTGAATTCATTGCGCTATGCTGCTTTGTTCACTGTGGCTTTGCGGGCTATTATTTCTTGTGTTTTGTAAGAAAACCAGCCTACAAAATGCTGGAATGTGATCCAGACTGGGCCCCTCTATCAACCTGGGTCAGACTGAGTTTAAAGCTGCTACCACAGCGAGATTTGAGAGAGAGAGAGCGATATCAAAACAGCCACGAAAAGTCCTGCATATATGTGCCCAAGTGTTGTATTGAAACAATCAATTGATGAATAACTGTTTTCCAGTATGTTGTTTTGCAATGGCTTATTTTTGTTGCATTGTTGATTTGTTTTTCACCGAAGCAGCTAATAAAGCGTGATGGAATACAATTTTGCCTCTTTCTTGTAAGATTCTATAATAGAACGAAACAATAATGCCAGTTACAAATAAAGACTATAATTGAATGAATTACAAAACACTAATTTTATTTCTAATAGATCTGAGAATGTTGTGTAACACTACAACCAGAAACAGGAGATAAAGGGGGAAAAATTAACAACAGCTGTGAAATGGAATAGTCCAAATCACCAAAGTGAGTGAGTAAGTAAGTGAGTGTATGCACTCACACTTAGGACCATATAATAATAAATATTTGCGTGATGAAATTTGGGCAGCACGCTAACGTCCTTACTCCACTCTGTATGCTTGTATGGGTCTTACCCTTTCACTCCTTTGATTTTTTTCCTCGTACATTTTTTTGCCTTTTCGTCACGTCTGTCTTTGTACGGAGCTGCCGTGTTCTCCTTCGTTTTGTACATAACAGTTTTTGGGGCAAATAAAATGCAAGTAGGGATTAAAACCGCAGAAATAACGATTACCTGTGCTGGAAATGCTAGCGCTTGATGCAGTGTTTTGATTTTGTTGCCACTCGTACCCACAATGCAATGTGCGAAAGTCACGTGGTCTGTCAATCTCTATACATGGCACTTGAAAATATGTATATATTCAGCCATAGTCTATTGGGCCAATTCATTTGAACCTATCCAGATTTCCAGTCAGATTGGTGTGAATGCAAGCCAGGCAAGAGATAAATGGAAAATTTGGATCATGTTGTTATTTTGCATGAAAAGAGCAGAAATGTACAAAAGGTCAACTTATCCCCAAGGCCATAGTCAGGGCATAATTGTAACCACATAGCAGATCCATTTTTATCAGCAAATACAGACTCCTTTCCTAAAACCAGTGAATTGACAACTTGGTTATTGATCTCTTGGTTATTGGTTATTGATCTCTATCAGTCCTAACTACAGTACACAGTACAAGAGCCAAGGCTGTGAATTACTACAGAATAAATAGTGACAGTGGCAGAGTTGAGTGGCACAATTTGACATGAAATGAAAAGAATATTTTAATGATGCAACTTAGCAGGTGAATAGACTTATGTGGCTCAGAAAATGAATGTTTTTGATCATATATTACAAGATCTGAGTGAGTATTTGTTCTGTGTCTGTTAGCTTGCCATCACCAGTGTGTGAATGTGTGCATGAATGGGCGGATGACTGGATGTGCAAAGCGCTTTGGGGTCCTTAAAGCGCTATACAAATACAGGCCATTTACCATTTCACAATTTAGAAATGTTGATGTCACAGATCACTTTCATATTTTAAAGATTGATCCAGCCATCCATTCTCTCCCCCTTATCAGGGTCACGGAGAGAGGCAGGGTACATCCTGGACAGATTAACAGCTTAATGCTAATACTGATTAAATGCAGAGGTGTATAAACACATAGTGAGTGGAACAGGTGACTGAAGAAGAAATACTCATAATAGAAATCCCCCAGTAGCCTACACCTATTGCAGTGTAACGCAGGAGAGGAGGATTCAGGGTCACCTGATCCAGCCCTAACTATATGCTTTAGCAAAAAGGAAAGTTTGAAGCCTAATCTTAAAAATAGAGATAGTGTCTGTCTCCTGAATCCAAACTGGAAGCTGGTTCCACAGAAGAGGGGCCTGAAAACTGAAGGCTCT